TATTAAACTACTCAAAATCATACCTTTTAACGCTTGAATGCCTCTACATGAGATACAATAGAAAATACATTATAGTCTCGCGTTGATCCACGTTTAGACACACGACTGGTTAAACAAAACAGCATTTTTGTTTGATAGAAAATAGCAGAAAATGAAGTTTTTATTGAATATAGTTTTTTAATCCAAATAAATAATAGCTGTGTCTAGACATAAAAATATTTGTTTTTCTAAAGTACACAAGTTTACAAAAATTGTATCATTAATGGATCGTCACTGGGGTAGGCGAGTTCAGGAGTTGAACACGTCTAAGCAAAAATTTCGTTGTTAATAAATTTAGAAATTCAGTTTAATTTATAGATATTGAATTTGTTTGGTTATTACAAATGTTGCTAAGAAGAGACCATAATTATAGCTTAAACTGTCAAAAATTAATCAGATCCTGTAGAACAAAGTTCTTAACTCTACATATCCAGCTCTACATTTATAAACACTAATTTCACATTTACGTTACTACGAAGTACCACACCGTAGCTCGTAGCTCGTAGCTTGTAATTCATAGAGCGAAGCGAGTAGTTCGTAGTACGTTGCAGCGTTTTCCACTACTAGCGTGGACTCAACTGAACAGTTGGCCACACAGAAAGTGTAGTTTAATCAAAATGCATGGTTTGGTCGTTTTTAGTGCGAAAATATTACTACATATTTACTACTAGCGACCCGCCACGGATGCGTAACATATGCAAATGCATGTATTACATAATTATGCTTGTATTATACCTATACAGAAACCTTCCCTAAGAATCATTCTATCTATTGGAAAAAACCGCATCAAAATCCATTGCGTAGTTTTAAAGATATAAACATATATAGGGACAGACAGACGGCTGATAGCGCCTCTGTTTTATACTATGTAATGATGAACTACACGCGCTACAAATTACAAGTGTCAAATCTAAAGTCGAACTAAATGGTGTGATGTAAAATGCATAAAGCATCAGTTAAATGGCAAATTCCATATAGGCTGTATATCAGATTAAACTGTCAAACACCAAGCGGTCACCGGTGACCGCAACCTATTGTTCTATAATTGTGTCTACAAAACCGGTACTCGACGAGTTAAATCCGTGCCTGGGATCATATCGCTCTAATGAAGTATTTATTTTCTGAGGGAATTTATATTCTGAAGATTGGAATATTTATAAAGTTATTTGAATTAAGTTTGAGTAGTCTCGAGCTATTTAGGTAGATAACATAACTAAGTTCGACTTCGACTAAGACAGATAACACTATATAACTAACAATTATATTATAAGTCGGTCTGCAAACCTGTGTAAAACTTCTTCGACAAATAAATTACATTATTATGATATTGTCAGGCCTTTGAGAACCAGCACAAAAAGTTGCTTAATCTCCTGTATGTCAGTATTAAAGACACAATAGAAAACGCGTTGTGTCTCGCGGAGATCTACGCCCCGACGTACCAGTGGTTAATACATTCACATACATAATTCGTATAAACAATTGTAAGCTACAATTATTACAAGGAAAATTCAGTAGTGGTGCTCGTATCTCTTACATCAAAAACATTTTAACTACTTTATCTGAAAAGCTGCACATCAGTTAACAAACATTTTGTTGTCAATTATCAGTGTAATACCAAAATTCATCGAATTATGTTTATCAGTAAATATATCGAGAGTAAATTTTATAATTTTTTATATCAGTAAAAGGTATGGATTAAATAGATCCACAATATGATGCTTGGCTAGAAATGCTAAAACCAACCAAAATCTTTAGTCATACTCACTACTACCTGCTCATTTCAGTGGAATATAAATTGACCAACAAAATTATGTTCTTATTTTTATCACTTAAAATCGTTTAAACTTTCAGAGTTTCAATGATAGGTTCTCCATTTAAATGAACATTACCCACAATGTAACAACTTTTTTTATGGTTTTGAATTATACATATTTTACTATGCTTATGGTATCAAGTTTTATATTGTAACTAAAAGGGGTTGTGATGAGTTTATTTAAAAATCAAAAGCGGCTGCTTATACCTTTCAGACTGTTTTATGTATTTATGGTGGGTACAAGTAACTAAATCACTTAATTAAGGTAGGAACCTTAGGCAATTATAGATGTCAAAGTAGTAACTTGGACATCTATAATTGCCATCTTTTTCCTCAAATAAGCGGTACAGCTATTGTCCTAGCTAGTTCTTTAACTGATAACAAGATCACACCTACATCTAGTTATCGTAACAGATAACATTCAATTGTAATAATCTCGATTAAAAATTCTCTTATAAATATCACATTAAAAAACAATTGAATTATTAGTAATCAGACTAGATAGTGCTACTCTTGTGCGTCATGAAGTGCTTGTTGCTTTTATTCGTCGTTATAGCAGGTAAATAATAAAAAAATCTTTATTGTTTCCTCGTCAAAGAAATGCAGTTTTAATGCATCCTTCGTAGAAAGTCACTTTGAATTTTTCATTTAATAAGTTAGTTAACTATGCAATATTTTGTGTGTGTTTGTGTACTTTTTACTAATGACCCTATAGAATAAACTTTAATAAATACAATAAATATGACAAGGGATATCGCAATATGAGTCGCGGTATTTCTTGATACTAGTAGGTACAGGTTTCTCCCATAGTTCCCGCGAGTAAGCTGTACTTTTGAATATGTAATTTAGAAGTGTTTCACGATAGTTACTGTATAAAATCTTTTGTTTCTATAGCATGTGCTGCGGGCGTCCTTAAAGACCCGCTTCAGGGTTACAAGGAAGGTGACAGGTACTTCTATTTCCCGGGAGATGGCGACGACACTCTTCACCTTGTCGATGCGGAAGAACCAGTTGATTTAGAATTCATTGAAGAATATACCAGAAATCCAGCTAACAACGGATATTGGCTTTTCACTAGGTACAATCATACTCAATTTACTTAATTACAATTTACTTAAACATTAAACCAGACTTAATTTGATGAAAACAGTTATTGAATAGTACTGTGATGAATGTTTTACTTGCAGATTCAATCCCGGTTCGGCCCAAATCTTGGTTCATGGTAATGTAGGCTCCGTGGTCAACTCAAATATCGATTTTGCAAAGACTACAGTATTCCTCGCTCATGGTTGGAATGGCGACGGTGGAAACACCATGAACAGACTGCTCACGGAAGGTAATTAAAATCCTTTGTCGCTATTTGATACTGAGGATAAGGTTGACCAATTGCGCAGTAGGTATTTCGTGGCAAGTAAAACAATAAAAACTGTACGGTTGGTAACGAAGACAAATTAAGGAAATATTTAGTTAGCAAAACCTGAAAACAAAAATAAACAAACAAACAAGAATTAATATTTTCTGGCTAATACCAGAATGCCCTACAATTAGGGCGACACAATGTCTCTCTGAGACATTAACCAATTTTAATGATTGTCCTCAAATAGGTAATCCCGTAGTAACAAGCATGTCAATGGTGAACAGTAACTTTTTTAATTTAAATGTAGTGCCTATAACAATAATATTAACAAATCCGTAATATCTTAATTTCAGCGTTTCTGCAGGACGACGACGTCAACGTTATTGTCCTCGACTGGAGTCGTTTAGCAAACAGGGGCTACACTACAGCAAAACGCGGAACTTCCGAAGTTGGTAGAGGACTCGGTCGCTTTGTGAACTGGCTCGCCGAATTGGGATTGTCTTACGAAAGAGTTCACTTAGTAGGATTCAGTCTTGGCGGTCATCTTGTAGGTAACGCCGGAAGGGAAACGGGTTCTAGAGTGAAGAGAATCACAGGTAATCATTTCAGTGCCAATAAAATTATAATCCTCATACATTTGAATATTTCAAGCAATTAAAAAAAATATACCTACTTACTATATTTCGTGCATCGTCAGTTACAAACTTAGTCCTACATACTTATAATATAAACTACTTCATTGTCCAATATTCCTACTTTTCCCGGACGAAAGTCAATACGGTAGTCGACAGGTAGTCAAATTCAATACTTTTATTGAAATGTCAAAAACGATACTTTTCTATGAATTTTGTATTGGATCGCAACTTATGACGTCATCATATTTCTGCGTCAAATAGCATACTTATTTCCTTAAAATTAGTAAGAAACAATCGAAAAGTATGTAAATTGTCAAATCAATGGATGAGAGTATGATTATTTTTTAATTATTTATTGCATTGAAAAGTTGAAACAATTTATTTTAAACCTAGGAAACTAGCCAATTGGGTACCAAGTTACATCAGTATGGTATAAAATCACAATACCTACCTATATCTGAGTTATATTTTTTTTTATTATAGCTTTGGATGCCGCTGCTCCTCTTTGGGGTACTGACCGCAGCCGTCTAGCGCGTACTGATGGTCTGTACGTAGAAGTGATGCATACTGAAACTACTGTACTTGGATGGGGTGACCCATTGGGTGACGCTGACTTCTACCCTAACGGAGGCTCTAACATGCCTGGCTGCTGGGCTATTGGAATTTCATGTTCCCACAGCCGTTCCTACAAATACATGGCCAGCTCCGTGAAACACAATCACCTTTTTGCCAACGAATGTGACAGTCTAAGGGATGCTAATCGCGATAGATGCCGTGGTAGTCTACACCCCATGGGTAATAGCGATCTCAACAAATCTCGGTAAGAACCATCATAATCATAGAATAGTTTTAATACATTCATAGCGAAAAGTATGAATAATTTTTAATTGCTGTTTTATTGTACAGGACTGGTATATTCAGAGTCAACACAGGCAGCAACTATCCATACTAAATGATCAACGATGTCGTTTACCCAACCATCAATTTTATGAAACTATAAACTGATTCGAAATAAATTACAATCATAAACTGAATGTGTTTTAATATTTTAAACTTTTTAATATTTTAGCAGATTTCTTTTGTAGGAAGTTCCACAAAAACATTTACATACAATCAAATCTTAATATTTCAATATATTATTATGTAAAATTATAAACGCTACAATGACTATTTCTAATCATATTATACCTATCATTAGTTACTCGTGTTACGTTTTAATAGGTATTATTCATCAACAATTTATTATAAATTGAATAGTTTGATTCGACCATTGCTTTAAAAACATGATGAAATCCATCGCAATCCATGTCTGGGCTGTAGGCAATTTAATCATTTCTGAAGATTTTTTAAATACATTTCGTTTATCTGTAACAAAAATGTTGCTTTTATTAGTATGTAAACACATAACATAACATAATATAACCTGTTTTTATAATAACTATCGTGAGACATACTAAATTAAGTAAAAACGCGGGTTACTCACGCGAATATACTGAGAAAAGCTCTACTAGTGAGCTGCGCGACGTCGCCGCGACCGCGCACGCTGCTCATGAGGAGGAACCCCTCTGTGGTTCGAAACTAGTAGAGCTTTTCTCAGTATATTCGCGTGAGTAACCCGCGTTTTTACTTAATATAATATAACCTATCTAAGCAACACAATCATGAAAAAAGGTGGTGCTCTCTGTCTGTCACTTCTTAGCATCGATTTCTTTAACAGTTTTATGCAGTTTTTGTTAAAAACTTAAACCTTAAAAGTGATATTGGATTAAGATTGTTTATTGATTTCGAACAGTTACTATAGAATCCAATCTTCTTTACTTCTACAACTAATTGATTTGAACTAGCGTTTTGTTGCTAGACAAATTGTCTACTTTTCTACTTAAACATTTTGAACTTGTTTTTTTTTTAAACGAAAAAAAAACTTGTCATGAGTAGACAATTCTACTTAAACGTTTTTAACTTATGACAAGTACTATACATTCTAGAAACAACATTTGCAATATTAAATACCCCCACTTACGTCATTGTATAGATGAAGATCTTAAAGTTAAAATAATTATGCGCAATTTATCAATTGTTTTATCTATGTAAATAGATTAGGGTATATTAGCAATACTGATAGAATCTCAGCATGTTGACGTCGTGACCGACAAACTATTGTAATCTTTTCGACAGTGGCAGCGCAGTGATTTAGATTTAGGCAGATATAACTGTTGTAATAATATCAAGACCATGTAGTTCTTTGTGATTAGGTATTATTGGGCAATACTATCTACTACCTAGTAGTAACTACGCATACGTACTTTGAGATTTATTCAAGACGTCACTGGATTTATTTTATTTCAATATTTGGTACGAGAAAAAATATTATCGTTATCAACAACCCCCTAAAAATCCACTGTTGGACTGTTAGAGATAAACCTCCAAATAAATATAAATTAATATTTTATAAGTACAGTGAATAAATGTTGCAATTCAAATAATCATACCTTGTCTTTCTCCAACCATTTTCGTATAAAGGGAGCGAACAATCGATGGTCATGATGAACTTTAGCAGTTTTTCGAAAATTAACTATGCAGGCAATACCAACGGTCACCATACATCCGAACGCAGTGAACCACATGAAAGATATTCTGTACAAGTACGGTACTTTACTGAAACAAAGAAGCGACAACCAATGAAGTCTCTATTAATAATCCAAATTAAAAATTACAAAGAGAAGATCTTGCCAAAATTGCTACTTTTAGCTCAGTCACCAAGTTAACCATTACAATAATATATGTGAATCCTAATATTTCAAAAGTATATTTTAGGATTTAGATGCCTACCATATTTACATATTACATAAAAATTTTAAGGCGCCTGTCTCGGTAATTTTTCGTTAGCACCGCGTTATTATCTGAATAAAGGTGTAAAAGGTGTCTGGTCTGTACAAACCTTTCAGCGTCAACCACGTTATGTACAATTTCATCAAATTCGTAAGTACAGTTTTGTGTAAATCTTGGTTTTTCACTAGATTGCATCAGTCCTCTTGCTTGTGCTAACTGTGACTGCGCGGCTAACCACCAAGCAGACGATAGACCTATGATACCTCCGCTCAAAGCACTCTGAAATCACATTTTATTCTAGAAACTATAATAAAGACAATAAAACAATATAAATAAGCATGCAAGAAAACAGCGATAATTGCAGGAAAAGCAATAAATAAATAGGTAGTTCAGGTTATAATTAAGCAAACCTACCTTGTAACACTTTCTTAACTTCCGCAATCGCAATACACATAGATTGATTTCAGTTTTCATCACATTTCACTATGCGAACATGCAGTGTCATGCAGTAAAAGTTTTCAATAATGTTTTAAAAGCACGATTTGATGAATTCTTATTATATTTATTTAAATTAAATTCATAGTTTACAAACATGCAACGCCCATTTTAACGTAAGATTTTGAAGAAAGTAGCACACAGAAGTAACGATACAAATCTTCTTTCTTTGTGCAATTAATGCAAGAGAAAATTATAGTATTGACCAAAAAGACGAAATTTCTTACCGTACCATCGATGAACGGCAAAAATATCCCCATCAAGAAGACTCCGGCTAAAGGTCCCATTGAAGCTGACGAGAGGCTCATAGTCAGTTGTAGAACAGAGCCCAACATTTCTACTATGTATACTAAACCTACAAAAGAATAACTATTTCATTATCATCATCAACAATGTCGCCTACAGAATATGTATGGACCCTCTTGGCCAATACACAGGGTGGAATTTTGTAATGCTACCTATAGGGGAAGTACTCCTAATATTTAAGATAGATAATTTTACTCAAGGAAAATATTGCTTTATTTTTGAAAAGAAACGAAACTGCATTCAATGATTTTTAAAATTATCTTGTCTCAAACGGTTATCGAACCGACTAAAATCTGTCAAGTTTGCACCCTGTACTTTTATTATTGCACCGATCGTTCATTGTTTTTCTTTCATTAAATTTATGAAGTTTGTTAGAGAGATTTCATCCTTATTGACCCTAGCAATCGATGCAATAAATGTATAGGTTGCAACTTTTACACATTTTAGTCAGTTCGATTACCTACTGCAGTAAGCGAATTTTAAAAATCTTTGAACGTAGTTTTCTTTCTTTTCAAAAATAAAGAAAGCGAATTTTAAAAATCTTGTAGTAAAATTTTCTATCTGTATTAAGAGTACTTCCCCTTCTGGTGGCATTACAAAATTCCACCTGTATAATCTAAACTTTATTTTGCCTGAATCAAAAGTTACTCCTGTCTTTGATGATGGTAATGTCCATTAATGATGAGGACCCAAATTAGTTTCGTTGATTCTTTTTAATATAGACTGATCTTATTATTAGTTGGTATCTAGATATATAGCACTTCACTAATAACAATTAATAATATTAAAAACAAATTCAATACTCACCGACACAAATAACCCCAAGTATAACGACCACAGATCGGATCATTATTTGTGTTTGCCTATGAGTCAGAGGCTTAAAGAATGGTTTCCAGAAATCCTCTAATACTACAGCAGCCATCGAGTTGAGACCAGTGGAGAGTGAACTGGAAATATGAGATCGCGTGTCTGCTTACTGTCCTAATTATTTATTTATTATTTCATCACGAAAGATAACAGTGAATGGGGGACTTATGCCTTAAGGCATTCTCTGACAGTCAACCATAGGGAAGTGCAGAGAAATGAAGCGGTTGATGCGAAGCCAATATGTTCACATAAAAAAAAACAAATAATAATAAGCCTACTACACAAATAAAAACCGACACAATAAATATAATCTAAATAGACTGAAAGAATATATAAAATTCTCATGTCACAGTTTTCGTTGCCATACTCCTCCGAAACGGCTTGACTGATTTTGATGAAATTTATTTTTTGGACAAAATTTTTAATTTTTATTTTTTTATGATGCAACATATAAAAATACATACAATCCTCAATTTTCACCCTTCTACGAAATTATTTATATGGCAAAACAACGTTTGCCGGGTCAGCTAGTATAATATATACTACTAAACTAATACTTATACCTACTACATAAATATTACAATACATTAAAGAAAACTATGTCAAAATAGTTTCCTCAGTTGTTTTGAGTCTGCCAATGCTTAAATGAAATGCTCGCAATGCAATAATTACTAACTAATCTAAGTTCAAAATATTTCTAGAAGATTTTGACACAAATAAAGTAATATGAAAAATGTTATTGGTTATTAATTTCGCCCCCCAAGTGGGCAAGACAGTGTTTCAAATTATTTCACCAAATTGCAAAAAAAGTCATTAGAGAGCCATCCATTTATCAGAAAAAGTAAGTATAATTAGTTATTACTAGTAATGCTTAAATGCTTCAAATCTACCTTATTATAATTGTCTTTTCTTTTCAAATACTCACCTAAGAGATGCACTGAAAACTCCTGCAACAAAAATGCCCGGCATGCCAGGCCAGTCTCCTAATACATCCATTACCAGAAGAGGCAACAGTTGATCTTTGGCCAACGCCAGTCGAGAGTCCAATGGGTCACATTCATGGTACTTGGCATAGGCCAACAAACCACTGTACCCACATATTAGAACTATGAACATTACACCACCGAAAAATCCCCAGATTGCTCTGAAAATTGAAAAAGAATATATAACTTTTACTTTAACTATTCATCTATAAATAGCGCAGGCAGGTTTTCAACTAGAGTCAGAGTTTTTAACATATACTTAACGTAACATTCAACTTCATACAGAATTCAGAATTATTTAGTTTAATAAAATAAAAATACTAACCTTTTGGACGATTTAAGTTCAGCCAAGGCTAAGAACCTTTGCAACATAGATTGATTAACAGCAACGTTGCCGATCCAGTAAAACGTAGAGCCAATAGACACTGACCATATTGTATGTCTCACTGTTAGATCCATTGTGACGCTGAAACAAAATCAAGTTGTTTTTTAAAAAAACTTTATCATTTGCATTATGCCTTGTTTATGTATTTATCTGTATAGAAATGTTAGAACCATTGAATTGTGAAAAAGGCGTCTACTTAAACTCAATAAATCGCTAATAGAGGTAATATCGGTTTTCAAAACAATAATGTAATTAAATGTCACATTACTATACATAGTACTAATTTTCTTTTACTCAAAATAATGGAGGAGTAATTTATTGTTAGACAGAAAAACATTGCAATGAATATAATGGAAGGTAAACGTATTATAGCTTACGTTAAATGTACGTAATTAAAAATAATACTTTTTTTAAGGAGGGAAAATCATCTAATGACTGCTCCCGCCTGGATGAGGCAGGAGGGAGTGTCAGACTCTTACTGACAAAAAACCACCCCGTTCCTTCTCCTGCACGTCGAACCGGAGCCCCGGTAACCCGTTACGTTCTCCGCGACTAAAAGTAATAATACTTACGGTGGTATCTCAACTCGTCCTGTGTTCCAATTTTCTCTGAACACTTCCCCAAGACCGCCCGCGATGATGGTCCCTTTTATGATAACCAAGATCATAGCTCCTATCATCACAATAGTCTGTATCACATCGGTCCATACAACAGCCTTTAAACCACCCTGAAAATAAATAAATAGCTTGCTAAAACGTTACTAAGCTAATTTACTTAAACATTTTATTATACAACCATTACTTAATCAAACAATGATCTACACATTAGGTACATGTACCCAAAGATACCAGAACATATAACTCCCGATTTCTTTTGTTATTTTGTCGTCATTGGCAGAATATGAAAAAAAAAATAACGAAGTCAGCAACAGATCTAGTACGTACAAGATAAAACACAATATAAATAGAAATTAGTTCATAATGTTGGTGTCACTTACCAAAGACGTATAAAATATGCACACGAAGCATACTATAGAAGTTGTTATGTGAATATTTACACCAGTTACTGAAAAGAAAATAATCAATTACAATCATAAATGTGGTTTAGAGACAATGTATTTTTTATAACTATAATATATTGTTAAACTTACCTTGATTAAACGCTAAAGCTGGTACGTAAATAACTATGGGCAGCCACGCCATCTATAAACATTATATTTACTAGATTATAATATATCTAATAAACTTATATTTATGTACTATGTGTATTCAATAAATATAATTGTACTAATAACTGTAGATAATAATTGCACTAATAAAATGTAGTACTAATAAGTGTGAAAATGGCACGCAATTTTCCTTTTCGCGCGCGCTATGTGATGTCATTGGTGTTATACCTAAAATTAAAATGGAAGATGGAAGCGCCTGAATCTGGCAAAGGTAATCTAACTAAACAGCCAATCAATAAACATAAAAAAATCTTAAGGATAGTTTTTTATATTTTAGTAAAAGCTTTTCACAGCAAAACTTACCAAATAAACGCTGAACAAGACAGATCCGAATACTCGTAAACGTTTATCATACCGAAGTTCCAAATACTAAAATAAAAATGATTTGTATTTCAGGACTTAACTTCACTTTAGCTACGATGAAAATGATTAAAGTTCAAGAAAAAAATCTTCTAAGTGTAAACAGACTAAAAATATTTTGTAATAAATATTATTTTAAATATAATTTAACAATTAATTTTCTAAAATTTTCGCGCCAACAGATAAATTATTTTTTTTTCTAATCTAACAGATAAATTATTTAAAAATGGGCATCTCGGTTTTAAGGTGCCATTGTTATTCTAAATACAAAACAAAAAAGTTTTTACATTTTTACGTTCGATTCACTTACCTCGTAAGCTGAAGTCAATCTCAAGTCATGAAGTATTGGTAAAAACGTATAAGATACAATTATTGACATCAATAAAGTACCAATCAAAGTAAACACATATGCTGTGCCATAAATATATAGTTCTGTCGGTATACCTAATAACGATATTCCTGAAATAAAACTGAAAAGAAATACTTTCATGGCTAGGTAATTGTTATTATACAAAAAATAAACTTGGAGAACCTAGAAAAACCTAGGTAATAATCAAAACAGTACCTACCTTGCGACTAGTGAGAAACAAACAGGCAATAACTTCATATTTCGTCCGCCCATCAGATAATCTTGAGTCGAACTCTGTTTCTTCACAAATCCGAAATAAATACCGATTCCTCCGCAAATTGTTAGCATTAAAACAAATAAGATATAATCAAACCACCCAAAATGTTGCAGCGAATGTCTTACTGCAGAAACGTGTAATTTTTCTTCAGACATTTTTCAAGAGTTTTATTTACTAAAATAATATTAAAATATCACTTTACATTACGCAGTCGACAAAGACACATCTCAGTGTCACAGTGTGAATGAATGATAAAGCAATTTTACAATTGCCGCCCGCGATTTTCTCGATGGTCAGAGCCGTCTCGGAGGCTATTTTGGTTTCAATTGACCATTTCCTGTACTCGTCGAAAATAGACTATCTTTCTCGCAGGTCTACCATCTAAGTATATTATGTTAGACCAGTTACATACATTGTAGCTTCAGATGCTTAATACGACAATAATTAAAACACAGATATACCTACCATTATATTGATACATATATTGTTATTATTTTATAGGTACTAGCTATTGCCTGCAACTTAGTCTGCGTAAAATAATGAGCTCTGGCAGAATTTAGGCTTTTGAATTATCCTTCATCAAGGGAATCTTCTACGGTAACGAATGTCGTCAGAATTGATTCAGTACCTAGTATAGAGGGGTCCTTCCCGTAGATGATAGCATGATAATATCTAGCCCGGTTTCCCGGTTACCCGTTAGGTTCTCCGCGACTCCGAATTGCCATCGGCCCTGTTGGGCCCCATCTGTGGTGGTCTGATGGCTCTTTGGCCGTACGCTCGGGTCTGTTTCTGGTCGGACGGGAAGCCATGACATGCTCACCGTTCGCAGGCCCGCGCTTACGGTGGCCGGAGATCGTCCCGGGTTCCTGACGCCCGGTGTGTCCTTCGCGATAGCTGGGTTGCGTTGGGTAGCGCTTCGCTGCCTCACGCGTCCCGCCTCCTCCTTAGCTAGCATATAACTGCTTCGCAAAAGGACCCGGACATACCTACATACAGACAAATATTCGAAAAACCATATTGTTGGGTTTGGTATCGATTGTAGATCACGCACCATATATTCTTTTAAAAAAATATTCAATGTACATTTTTGACTTTTCTACGATTTTATTATATGTATACACTAGCAGCCCGTGCCGGCTTCGCCCGGGGTAGAAAATTATTTATATTTGTAAATTTGGATTGTTGTAGTGACATAACTACTATAGTTGGACAAATGCTGCCGCGGAGTTTTTTGTAGACATTATGATGTTCTTCAATATTTTGTTCTATCGCTAATAGTTTCGGCAGCGCATACGACGAAAGACATTTTAAGACTAATTTTTTTACACCTTCGGTTACTTTGTTCAAATTTTACCAAGGATCCCAAATTTTTTTCAAAATGAAATGTAGCGTATGCCAAATTGGAACAATGTAGCATTTTATTGGTGAAAGAATTTTTTAAATCGGCCCAGTACTTTTTGAGCCTATTCATTACAAACATACAAAAATAGGTACAAATCTTTCCTCTTTATAATATTGGTATAGATAGTATAGATAAAAATTATAAGCAAAAAAAATCGATAACTTTCATCGCGTACTATTTATTGTTTTTCACACTGGAACTCCAAAAAGGTTATAATATGATATTGAGTAACAACATACAGGCCACCATGTACCCACAATGCCATATAAAAAAATAAAAAAGCTATTTTTATGGCATCCTGCATTTTTTTACCTGAAATGGCCAGTACTTGTAAAACGTTTTTAAAGGAGGTTAAAATTGAAAGCGTTTTTACCGAATCATAATTTTCAAAACGACTTCAAAATGTTCTTAGTTCAACTATTTATAGAAAAAGTAAATTTTAATTCAAACAATTTATTACATAAATATAAAATTAATATATTTTGAGAAAAATATCTGTAAATTAACTTATTTCTTCAGATTCAGTAATTGGCTTCATGCTTATTGAGGTAGAGTTCACGTGGCAGGCTTCCTGAAATAGAAAATAATACGAGTTTAAGTTATTTAGATTAGCGTAGAACTAGTATTCAAGTTAAAGACAATATATATGATAAACGTAATTTACATTAATAAAATATATTTTTATAATACCTAATTACTTTAATTATCTACTAAGCATTTTATACTAACCTTATTTTGTCCATAAGCACTAATGAAGGGCTCATCCGTTGGGTGTGGAGGTTCTTTATATAACCTTCTTAACTGAGGGGCGAGAAGACATGGAGCGGGAGGAAGGTGCGGCGTCCCTCTCGCACGATTTATCCGGGAGACGATTGCACCAACGCATATGCTCACCATCATCCCAGCGAGGGTATACCACATGTACGATACTCTGAGCACCGGGTTTACTTCCTCACTACAAATATTGTGAAACCATGAGTTACATTTTCAAGGCTAGAAAACAGTTAAAAAATGTCCTATTTTAATATCTCTCCATAACTGTCGACTTATGGGGTACAGACCTCCTCTAGATGAGAGAGTTCACGGTTCGAAGAGGTAAGATTTATCAGTGACTGACAGTCCCTTAGTCAGTTTTTTGACAACAGAAGCAGTAGCAAATATGTTTTACGCTGAACACAAATCTTGACGTGTTTACAAACCGAAGTTGGTTATTTATTGTAGCCTACCTAAACACGGATTCTTCAACAACATCCTCCACCGCAGTGAAGTTGTACGTGCACCCTGCAGTAGACAGGGACTTGTGTGAGTGTACTATTTGTCCTCTAGCTATGGCCAGTTGTGAAGTGAGACACCACCATGACATCACTGCTAGGCCGCTTACACCACCTATTAGGGCACCCTGTGAAAATATAGATATGAGAATATTTTTTATCACGTACTACGGACATTATGAATTTGCTCATGTTATTTTTAAGTTGCACTTTAACCAATTTTGAAACCATCTGAGAACAATGTAAGAGTTTCCATTTGTTATTATTCATCGCAAAATCTCAAATCCATGAAAGTAGAAAATAAATAAATAAAATACTTTTTTTTATTACCAGCCCAAATAATACATGTTTATCCTACTGGATAAACATGTATTATTTGGGCTTACAATGACAACCGCACTAGGCACAGCCTGTGTCGCGGCTGTCAGAAGTTGTTAAAGTGTATTAGTGCATGTTTTTAATCTGGTTTTAAATGATCATAGTAGCGGATACGTACTGTGGCATCTACCCAAGGCATAAGAATCCCCATAGTGAAGACACCAAGCTGTGGGCCCATCGTCATAGACTCTAACGTCATCGTCAATTGTAAGATTGTGCCCATCTTCTCCACTATAAAAACTAGTGCTGAAATTTAACAATTTATTAGTTTGGAAAAAGGTACATATTATAAAAATGCGTAATGCGAGGAACAAATAAATTCGTGTTAACAGATTTTTACTCTAAATCAATTAGCTCATTATTATTTTGACCAAGTTGGTTACGCTTATCGTTGTCATAATCAATTCAAGAGTATAAGGAAAACGCAATGCAAAAGCTCAATGAGTAATGACTTGCATAAACGCACAACATATTTACCTACACAGAGCGTGCCCAGTATTACGACGACACCCTTCATGATCCAGCTGGCCTGTCTATCAGTCAAAGGTTTCTTGAAGAAAGGCTTATAGAAGTCTTCTAACACAACCGCAGACATCGAATTCAAACTCGTTGATAAAGAACTGAAAGTAATATACAACTAAGAAGTATTATGAACCATTTTAACTTAAGCTATTAAAAAAACGTTAATGATGATCAAGAAAATATGTACCTCAAAGCTGCACTAAAAATGCCAGCTATGAAGACTCCAGGTAGTCCAGGAATTTCACCAAGAACATCCATTACTAATAGTGGAAGTAGTTGATCCTTTGCTTTAGCTAACTGAAAAAGGATAACTTTATAGACAAAAGTAGGTGAGGAAGACGATATGTATCCACAAAATCCAATAATATCTGTAGGTAAATAGGAAGGTACTTAATGTACCCACATGATAATTTTCCAATATAAATTTTCTCACTCCTCATGACCTACTCATGACAGATCGTGATTTACGACATGCAATTTTCAATTGCAAGATTGGTTTCACATTGTTCTATCCCGTGCAATAAGAGTCAATTGCGGGAAGTAGGTCGTTGGTGTCGGCGACGTACAAAACCATCCATCATCAACTATAATAGTCTAAGATTTAAATATAAATGTGTACTACCTTAGTCTGCAAAGGATCGCAGTCGTGAAATCTTGCGTAGATCAACAAGCCACAATAAAGACAGAAGCAATAAAGGAAGGAGATGCCGATACAGAACAGGAAAACTGCCCTGAAAATAAAGAAAATTATATCATCCTTTTTATATGGAAGATATTAGACGCTAACAGTCAAAAATTACCTCGCCTTACCATTTAGCTCCCCGTAAAGTCGGTAATGAAAGATATCGCTGTATCATAGTCTGATTGACAGCATTCGATTGTAGCCAGTAGATTGTCCCGCCTACAACAAGACTCCATATTGTGTGTCGCGTCAGAGGATTTGGATCCCAACTAAAAAATAAAAACACTTCATAACATCAGACAAAGAAGATTTGCTGTAACAGTTAAACTCAAAAATATGTACCAGTGTATCTAATATTTCTCACACTCGTCACTGAAATAATTTTCCACTTGTATGTTCTCAGTTTCTCAGCCATAAATATTGCAGTTAGGACTGATACGAGTCAGTATGTCAACCAGTTGCTATTTTCTTAGATAAACGTTTCCTTTGAATCAGAGCTGTCATTGTGGGTGTCTAGTACAAGTAGTACACAAAGAAATCGTTTCGAATTACGCTACGAAGATGATATGAAGGACGCAATTGAAATTCTTTTGATACAATAGCAATGGACTCGTATATTTATATCCTCTAGATGTTTTACAAGCACCGATGTAGACACTGCACAGTTAATTTAAGTAAATTCGCTTTCAGTTGACGATACTTAGGCGGTTGAAGTAACAGATACATGAAGCAGTATAGTTGTAGTTAAGGTCTCTGCACACTGCTCAGCGTCGCGTCGCCGTCCCGTCCCGCCGCGCCGCGCTCGCTGTGTGCAGAGACCTTTATACTTCCTGATTTGATTACCAAATACATTCTTGCTTCCTTAACCTTGACCATTAATAAAACAACTTACTTCGGCATTTCAATCCTTCCGCTGTCCATGTTCCTCTGGAAGACAACTCCAATGCCGCCCACGTCAATGGTCCCTTTGAT